GGGGGGGGGGGGGGGGGGGGGGGGGGGGGGGGGGGGGGGGGACAGGGTTAAAGGCACTGAGAGCGGGGCTAGCAGTGACCACCTTTTCCATTGGGTGACAGGCTTTATGGACAGGGATTGATGCCTTGGGGTTAAGCTTAATGGTGATGTGGTGTGCTGTTGAGTGACAAAGGGGACCTGGGGGCTACTGGTGACCTGCTGTGTGATTGAATGACACGGAGGCGGGGTTAGATGCTCTGGGGAGGGTCCAGCAGTGAAGGCATTAGTGGTTGAGTGAGAGGAGGGACAGCCGGTATAGAACTAGTAGGGGGAACTAGAGGCCTAGGGGCAGGGATACAGGGCCTGAGGTGGTTGCTAGCATTTGAGACTTTGAGATTGGGTGACAGGGGCCAGGTTTAGAAGTCATAGGGGAGGAGCTAGAGGCCCTGGGGGTGGGGCTAGTGGTGACCTTGTGAGAATTTGACCTTCAGGGCTAGAGGCAGGCCTAGTGGTTATGTTGTGTGTCATTGAGTGACAGAAGAGACCTGGGGGCTGGTGTAAAGGGCTCACGCTGTCTGCTAGGGCGATGGTGTGCGGGGCTTAGATACAGCACAGAAAGGATGTGCTGTGATTGGTTCTTGACAGGGCTTGAGCACTGGGTCGGATTGTGGGAGGAGCCTGGGCATTCACAGGGCAATTGTGGGAGGTACCTTGGGGGGTGATAGGGGAGGGTTGTAGGAGGAGCCTGGGCAGTGACAGGATTGTGGGAGGAGGCTGAGCTGACTCACACCCCCGCCCCTGCAGCCTGCCATCATGGCCGCCGCCACCATTGTGCACGACCCGTCAGAGGCCGTCCCGCTGTGCCCTGCCCTGGGCCTCTACCTCAAGCCCATCACGCGCATGAGCATCTCAGTGGCGCTGCCGCCTCTGACGCCACCCGGCAAGTCCATCTCCAACTGGGAGGTGATGGAGCGGCTGCGTGCGCTGGCGCCAGCGAATGCACAGTTCTCGGCGCTGCGCATCGCCAAGAGCACGTTGGATTTCGTGCGCTTCGAGGGCGAGCTCGAGCGGCGCGCGCTGGTGCGGCCTGTGCTGGCCTGCCTGGACGGGCGCACGCTCAAGCTCAGCGGCTTCCCTGATGCCCTGCGAATACGTGCCGCCGAGCTTCGCGCCGACTTCCCGTCCCGCCATGCCTGGGACGCCTTCTTCCGGGACGCCCCCGACATGGATGAGGCGCGGCCTGGGGAGCGGCCAGACACCGTGCACCTGGAGGGGCTGCCCTGCCGCTGGTTCGCGCCCCGGGAGGCCACTTCTGGGGCTACTTCTGGCGCGACTTCTGGTTCTGGGGGCGGGGCCTCGGAGCGGCCCAGCGAAGAGCTGCTGCGCCAGGCCTTCGGCACCTTTGGAGAGATTCGCCACGTGGACATCCCTATGCTCGACCCCTACCGGGAAGAGATGGCAGGCCGCAGCTTCCACACCTTTAGCTTCGGTGGCCATCTTAATTTCGAGGCCTACGTTCAGTACCGCGAGTATGCGGGCTTCGTGCGTGCTATGAGCGCCCTGCGTGGCATGAAGCTCATGTACAAGGGCGAGGACGGAAAGGCGGTGGCCTGCAATATCAAGGTGGGCGGAGCTGGGGGCGGTACTCGGCATGGAGAGGTTAGGGAGAGTGGCAAGTCAGCTCAGAAGTTAGTGGTAGGGCCAGAAGTCGGCTCTGGAGTTATGGGAGATGTCGAATCAGGCAGATGGGGTAGACAAAATGTCATCTCTAGATGGGTGGGGATGACAGGAAGTTACCTCAGAGAGGTGGACAGAAAGTCATCTCAGAAAGGAAGTCATCTCAGGGAGATGGGGAGGAACAGGACTTCACCCCCCTCAGTGACGTAACAGCTGACCTGGCCCCGCCCCCGCAGGTCTCCTTTGACTCCACCAAGCACCTAAGCGACGCATCGATCCGGAAGCGGCAGCTGGAGCGGGAGAAGCTGCGGGAGCTGGAGCAACAGCGCGAGGAGCAGAAGCGGCGGGAGAAGGAAGCTGAGGAGCGTCAGCGCGCAGAGGAGCGGTGAGGGCGGGGTCGGGGCGGTGGCGTCAGCCAGAGATCTTTCCACCCCACACCCAAACATGGGGAGGAGGAGGGAGGGCGGGCCCTGCGTATGACATCATATATTCCCCCCCCCATACACACACCAACCACACAGGAAAAAGAGGGAAGTAGAGGAGCAGTGAGGGTTGGCGGAGGAGGAGCGAGAGTGTGGGGGTGATGGGGTTGGTGACATCGTCTCCTGCCCTGACCCTGGGTGTGTTGGGTGGAGCTGATGACATCATCACGAGAGCCAGGGTCCCTAGGAGAGCAGTGATGTAGCCCGTTACACATCATCCCCCATCCTCCCCAGGAAGCAGCGCGAGGCTGAGGAGCAGGAGCGCGAGCGCCGGCGTGAGGAGAAGCTGCGTCGCAGGGAACAGCGGCGCAGCCGCAAGAGGGCAGAGAAACTGCAGGCAGAGGAGCAGCGACGGCTGCACTTCCGGGTCCGTGCTGAGGAGCGGAAGCTGCTGCTGGCCCAGCGCAACCTGCAGTCGCTGCGGCTGGTGGCTGAGCTACTGGGCCGTGCCGAGGTAGGTGGGGTCGGGGGTCAAGAGGGAATGACCTGTAGGGAAAGGCAGAGAAGCAGCTGCTTACCCAACGCAACCTGCAGTCACTGGTGCTGGTGGATGAACTGCTGGGCAGAGCCAAGGTGGACGGAGGAGCGGGAGCTGCTGTATTATCTTGGTTTAAAGAGAACAGAGACATGGGTTGTGGGTGGGGCCGCACATCAGTAGTTTCATGGGAGAGGATAGTGATGTGGGCAGGGTTGGGGATAGAGGGGCAGAGCCTTGGGGAGGGTAGGTGGCATCATGTGAGGTGGGCGGGGCCTGACACTGACAGCCAACGGCGCACCTTAGCAGAAGTTTAAGGAAAATGGTGAGGTGTGCAAGGCCTGGGTGACAGGTGGGTGGGTCATTGTACTGATTAAGTGGAGGCAATTGTGAGCCGGGTAGGCCTTTGTATGGGTGCCTGGGGCCTGTGAGACTAGCGGGCAGGGCGTGGGGCTGACAGACATTGGCTCACCTTATAGTTTAAAGGGAGAGGATGGTGAGACAGGCGGGACATTGGAAGGTGGGCAGGACATGGCCAGTGACTGACAGCCTCTGCCTAAGCATCTCAGTTACAGGATAGTGAAATGGGCCGGGCCTGTGACTGGTAACTGGTGACTCACCATATTAGTACTTTGGATGGTGAGGACCATGGGGTAGGCGGGGCCTGTCTTTACTGACAGCCAGGAAGAGATGGGGCCTGCCTGTTAAGGACGGGTGTGGCTTGTATGGCCTATGGGGCGGGGCCTTGTGAGTTGGGCAGGACTAAGGCAGTGAGACAACCTGGAGGGATGACTGGGGTGACTTGACATGTGGGGCATTGCTGACATCATGTCAGGTGGGAGTGGCTGCCCGTGACTGACCCCACCCCCATCACCTCCCCACCACCCACAGGCGGCTGAGCAGCGGCGGCGACAGGAGGCAGAGCTTCGGAGAGTGGAGCGCGAGAAAGAGCGCGCTCTGGGGCTACAGCGGCGGGAACGGGAGCTACGTCAGCGCCTGGTAACACTGCTTTTGGGGCGCCGCCCTGGCACTGCTCACTCTGGCTCTGGCCTCGCCCACACTGGCCCTGGAAGCCCGGCCCAGTCCGACCCACTCCGGCCGGTTCTTGACCTCCTGAGGGGTGTGTCCACATCCCGCCCCGCCCACCCGCCAGGAGATGATGTCTCGGGCCAGGCAGATGACATCACTATCCCGGCCCTGCACACACAGCCTGACAACAGGAAGGAGCCGCAGGTCCTGGCCTGCATCCCTGACAACGCCCCACCCAAAGCCACATCCGTGCCTGTGGCCACGCCCAATGGGGACCCTTGTAGGGAGGCACACAGTGAGGACAAGTGCAACCGCGAACCTGAAGCCTTGGCCATGCCTACTCCTGCAGGGGAGGAGGGGGAGGAGGACGCCCAGCCCCGCCCTGCCAAGGACCGGAAGCAGCACCGGAAGCGAGCCCGGGGGGAGGACAAGGAGCATGGGAGGCGGCGCCGCCGGGAGGAGGAGGGCAGAGGGCGGGACCGGAAGCACAGCCGCCGCCATCACCATGGGGACCCAGCCCGCTCCCGGTCACGCTCCCCACAGACCCCTCCTCCTCCCCGGGGGGCTTGGACACGGTGATGGCCACCCACAGGAAACAACCAAGGACACCCACAGAAAATGCCCAACAGGACATGACCCCGCCTTGCTGACAACGCTGACAGGACACGCCCATGATCCTGGGAACAATCTGCCGCCAGCCTGCTACACAGAACAGGACCACCAGGCCTGACTAGCCCTACCCATGGGACATACCCCTCCCAGTCCACCCACCCCATACAGACCAAAGGATACTCCTGACAGTCCCACCTGACCCAATCCCTCCCCTTCCTCCTCCATGACACACCTACCAAGCCTGACCCATCCAGGACGAAGGACACGCCCACCAGTTCTGTCCAGCCCAGCCCATTCAACTTCCATGATCCTCCAATGAAACATGCCGACCCACCTGTCACCTCAGGTCAGACATGGCCAAACCTGGGGGAGGGTAAGACTGACTCCATTTGACAGCGGGCAGGGCGGGGCCGACCACAGCTTCCAAGACTGAGCCAAACGAAGTAATGTGGCCAAGTGTTAGTCTACTTGAAATAAACTTTGACTCATGATTGTGTGAGCGTCTCTGTGATAGTAGCTGGGGGCGGGGCCTGGGGAGGTGGGCGGGACCTACTAGGGGATAAGGAGAACTGAATGAGGAGGAGCACTGATAAGTGATAGAAAAAGGTGGAGGGCTGAAGGAAGACTAAGTGCGGAGGAGGACTAGGTGAGGAAAAGGACTGAGAAGAAGGACTAAGGAAGAGGACTGGAAGAGGAGGAAAAATAAGTGAGGGGGAGGAGTGAGAGGAGGAGGACTTTGTGAGGAAGAGGAATGAGTTGAGGACTGAGTGAGGAGGAGAACTTCAGTGAGCAGAAGGAGACTGAGGAGGATTGGGTGAGGAAGAGGAGGCCTGAGGGAGGAGGAATGACTGAGTGAGGAGGAGGATTCAGTGAGGAGGGAGTACTAAGTGAGGGGGATGATTGAGTGTCAAGAACTGTTGTGAGGAGGACAAATGATTGAGGGGATGATTGAGTGTTGAGAACTGTGAGGAGGAGGACTATGAGGAGGAATACTGAGTGAGGAGGAGGATTGAGCGAGAGGGAGGGGAACTGAGGAGGAGGACTGGATCAGGAGGACTGAGTGAGGAACTGCAAGTGGGACAGTGAGGAAGAGGACTGAGGAGGATTGAGCGAGAATGAGTAGGACTGAGTGAGGAGGAAGAGT